GGAGAGCAGTACCAAGTTTTTTAAAATAAGCTTACCCAACTAGTGAAAGTACCAGGTACAATTTGCAAGTTTTAATGAACATAAAACATTTGTGACGGCTTATTCCATTAATCCATTTTAATAGGTATATATACAAGTGAAAGCGAGGTTAATAGAAACCATAACTCCATAAAGAGTGTAGATGGAATTAATAAAGGCTATCGCTGTAGCGTTCAAAATTGGTTTTATTTTTTAAATTTGTTTAAAATTATAGTATTTTTTTTTTCCCTTTCATCCTTTTTCACATCCTTTTTACTCTCAATTATTGGATTTAGAATTCAAATTATAAACCTAACAGCAGAAAAAACTATATTAAATGTCATTCCCTAATATCAGCAGCAAAAAAAAAAAAAAAATGCGGTGAGTACCGTCAGATGAAAAGGAAGATTGGTGGGTTGACGGTTCAGGAGAACGGACGGTGGATATTGGGGGATGGAACAGGGAATTTACCGTTGGATTGGTTGAATTTTGAAAGTGCTTTTCAAATTTTGATTGCACGTCATTCGAAGCGAAGGCTGACATGGCAGATTAATTTTGCCAAATGTAAATGGGGACCACTTGCGGAAGCTTTTGAAAAGTTGAGTTCGATTTCACGGTGGACTTTCCATGCACGTGTTGCAGAGTTTTTGAGTCATGACGCGTGAGGGCTATTTTTTAATCTTTTGACAAAAGAGTGAAATGACTAAAAGTTCATAATTGAATATGGGAATTTAAAAGAGATTGACCATTAAAGCCGATGCTGGAGGTCAGGGTTCAATCCTTGCCTCCCACAAATTTATCACAATTTATGGTGGTCGTAATTGACCTTCATCGATGGAGTTTGTACTCACATCGAACCTCCTCCCCTTCCTCTTAGATTAGGCTAGATTAGGTTATAGGACATCTATCGTTTCGATAAAAAAAAAAGAATATGAGAATTGAATATATTCAATCAAATAAATACATATGAAACAAAAATATAACCAAAACACAGATGGGAAACGAATTAAAGAATCAACACAAATACGCTTTACAAAAAAGGATTACTAGTAAACTTTCAAAACGTGATCTGCTTCTTTTAAGATTAAAGTGGATGCTTTGAGACAAACATTATAATAATAATACATCTTCCATATTCCTCTTGTTTATCCTCATGAATCTTATTTATATTCACATTATATTATGAAGAGACAAAATCCCTTTTCTACCTCTAAGTCTTTTAACGTAGCACATTGTTCGAATTGTAGATTTCGGCAGAAAAATTTTTATGTTTTTTCACGAGCATATTTTATAATTATTTTTTTTCTCATATACATTAAATCATTATAATTTATTTTTTTACAAAAATTCTTAAAAATAGTAATTGAAACGGGAATGCTATGAAAGTCATGGGGAAAGGGATTCGAATATTTAGCACATAAAAATATAAACACTAAAAGAGTAGCCAGCCGTTTTTTTTTTTTTTGCTGACGGAATGGGTGTCCAGGTCAATCCTTGCGGGGCCCGACTAATCCCACTCCGACCAGGGAGGAGAGGCCGTTAACTAACTACTTTTAGAGTTGTTGGCTACCAGTGAGAGCCTCAAGACTCTCCATGGGTGCAGGCATCATTTGACTTGCATTCATTCCCAAAATTTCTTGTAAGTTTTACTAGTTGCACCTGTTTTATTCGGTAGTGGTTTAGTCTCTTCTAACTTTTCTCTTGACCCATATGGACTCACCCCCTTTCTCTTAGTATAAGGTAAGAGTAGGAGTATAATAGAAAAGCTATCCCGTGAACAAAAAAAAAAAAAACTAAAAGAGCAGCCGTTTGACTCGAAATAACAGGAAAAACCTTTATTACCCAATCAGCCCCAATCGTGCTTGCCGGTGACTCTAAAAAGTCCTCAGGACGACTCCTCGTCAATCTAAGAGTAATTAGTTTTCGAAAGATGCAAGGGAATAGTACATCCATCAGCAGGCGCAAAGAAAACAATTTTGGTTCGGTGGTGATTCAAGTCATTTCCACCCTTTTTTTTTGGGTTCATTTGGACTCATGTCTTCCCCCATAACATAGAATAGAAGTAAGAATAAAATAAGAAAGTTATCGATAAAAAATAAATAAATAAAAAGGCTGCCGTCTGACCCCAAATAATAAGAGGGTCCTTTATTACACAAGCAGCCCCAATTGTGCTTGCCGATGACTTGAAAAGTTCTCAAAGTGACTCCTCATCAATCTAAGAGTAATCAGTTTTCGAAAGATGCATGGAACAGTACATCCATCAGGGGGTGGGTGTAAAAGCATCCGTTTGATCCGATAGTGATTTAGTTATTTTCAACTTTTTTGTTGGCTCATTTGATTTCACTCCCTTCCCCTTAATATAAAATAAGAATAGATGTAAAATAGGAAAGCTACGTCGATAAAAAAAAAAAATTTAAAAAAGAGCAGCCGTTTGACTCCAAATAAAAGAAAGGTCCTTTTATTACCCAAGCAGCCCCAATCGTGCTTGTCGGTGACTTTGCAAAGTTCTCAAGGCGACTCCTCGTCAATCTAAGACTAGGGATGGCAATGGGGGCGGGTGATCGCGGGTACCCACCCCGCGGGGGGCTAATGGGGAGGGGGTTGGGGCGGGGGCGGGGGGAATTTTTTCCCCCCGCTTAGAAACGAACCCCGCTTTAAAAAAATAAATATATAAAATATATATGTATATAATTATATATATAATATATAATTTAATTAGTTACAAACTTATGATAATGATATTATTAGTTATATGTATTATATAATGTCTATTAGTATATATAATATAATTGATATTATTAATTATACTAATAATTATATATGTGTACTAATACAAATTATTAATTAGTTATACTAAATTTACTAATACATTTATGCTAAATCCCTAATTAAACTTACTACAATAACATTTTTTTCTTAAAAAAAGCACAAGTACAATAATGAATTAGTGATTGTATTTGTGTCAAAAGTGAAAACTTGACTACTTTAGTTATATTTATTTCATCACGTTGGATTGTATTCAAATACTTTTTATTTGATTGTTTTTACAAGTTTCAATTGTAAAATTATAATGAATAATAATTTGATGATGTGTTGATATTTTAATACTTGATTATTTGCTAAAATTTAACTATAATAAAATTATATAACAAATTTTTATTAGCCCCGCAGGGGAAACGGGGCCAGACGGGGCGGGGGGAGTTTGTAAGCAGCGGGGCGGAGGATGGGGGAGGGGTCCCCCGCCCCAACCCCGCTCCGTTGCAATCCCTATCTAAGACTAATCAATTTTCAAAAGATGCAGGGGAATAGTACGTCTGGATAAATCCAAATGACAAGAAAATTTTGATGATGGAATTATTAAAGTAAACCAACACCCGAGCCCCTAGATGCAAAATGCCAAATCAAATAATTACAAAAATCGATTGGCACACGGATTTGATCATCAACGGGCAGCCGTCTGCTTGTGAGTAAACTAGTCGAATGAGCAGACCGGATTTATTTTCATTTTTATTTGTTTAGTTCAACAATTTTGCGAAATTACGTTCGACAAGATGTAAGTGATTTTGTTTATATCATAAGTAGTTTTCTAATTATTTTCTTATATTTTTAATTAAATTTTCATCTTATAAATATTTATTATTGCACCAATGTATTGTGCTGACTGCTGAGTTCAAAATGGAAGAACAGCAGCAGCAACCCACCACAATACGCGGAGGGGACTGTTGGGACCGGTGTAAATATTCCGAGGAGGCAAAGGCGCTCAAGGTTCAGATATAACGACAACCCTCATTGGTTCGTTGCTTTGAAATTTTCGGTTTGATGCAATCCTTCTAGTTTTAGCATGATAGATTTGCTCAAGCAGGAATGCCTGCTGAACCGGAACCAGTCCATCGCAGCCTTTTCGAAAAGGCTACTACAGGACAGCAGCAAATTTTGTAGAGCCTGGATGAGTAGCTGCAAATACCCCAGTCAGCTTTTGAAGTTGCCGGCTGAGGGTTTAGGGATGGGTAGATAATCTTCAGAAGTTGCCGACTTTCTAAGGTTGCTCGACGATTCGGTTTCTTTATGCATTCTTGAGTTCGTTTAAGAAAATGAGAGAAAAAATACCCCAGTCAGCTTCGAGAGAAGGAGAGAGGCGAGAAGGTTTGTGGGTGGGTTAGGGTGGTCTAAGGTCCTATAGGAGGACCTTGGCGGGTGAACCAAGAGACGCGTGGGATGGGGTGGGGCGACGTTGGCTTGCTGGAGTGGTTGCAGGGACGTGACGCTGTCTCCTGTCGGCTGCATTAACCGATGCCTACTACTGCTCTTTTCACTTTTTCCCGCTGCCACCCATTATCTATCATCACTTCTATTACTTTTTGCGTACAAATTTGTACTCCTACGCTGGGCTCCGTTGTCCCGTTGCATTTTCTTTCCTACCACTCTACTAACTTCTTCGTGTGTTTTTCTACCATCGATCCTTCTACAGCTGACGTTTCACCCGCAAAAAAAAAAAAAAGGGTGTCATCTACCCAGTTGCGAAATCCCACTTCTGCATACATCTTTCGTTAACCATTCCTCAGTTTAAAAGTATGGTTTGTAAGTGGTTGATCATCTTTAGACGAGAATGCCGTCATGCAATCGCGTTTCAATACAGCTTTAACATTTAACGACCTCAAATGGAAGTACCTAAATACAGCTTTTGGCTTGTATCCAGGTACTACTATTCAAGTACTTTTAAGCAACCAAAGTTCTGCATCGAGTGAAAACATGAAGCAACTAAGCAGAGCCAATTGCTAATTGCAATCAAACTAAAAACGTCCATGACCCTTTTTGGAAAGCGCAAAAGATGGGGATGAACTATTATGACAACAATGTACCGGCAGCTTATTGATCAGCGATGAAATGACAGGCAACAAAATAGTAGAACCCGTCACCAACTGTCAAACAAACTAGAAGCGCGACGCGATGCATCTCAGACAAAGATCACAACACTAGAAGCATTCAAACAAAAATATCAGAACACTAATTTAAGCATTCAAAGGATAATAATCACAAGTCAAAGTAAAATTCCAAGAAATCATATAGAATCTGTCTACAGATACTAAAATAGAGCAAGTCAACTAACTAAACTAGGTCCACAGACAGCACAAGCACTACAGATTGCGTTGCTAAAGGACATGCAGAGAAAGAGTTGAATTAGATGTTCGTACAAACTGCCACTTGAAACTTCCCTTCTCAAGAACGAGATCTCTCCCGTGGTGGCGGTGAACGACTGCAATAGCCATAAAGATTTAGATGTAGCATCATTACAGGGCCACACCAACCATATAAACCATTATGACATCTTTTTTTTTTTTTTTGGTTAAAGCCAACCAGAAGCAAAGAAGCAACGAGAAGGGAGGAAAAGAGAGTCAAACCTGTGATATCTTTCATTGACGGGACTCTCAGCTCTACCATAGTCAGGACTTCCCCGAGGCTCCGCTCTTGAACTTGGGATTGATCCATGACCATAATCAGGGCTTCCCCTATCCCTGCGGTACGGACTGGGAGATCTCCCACGACCATGCCCTCTTCTATCTGGGGACATATCACGGCCTCGTCTATCAGGGCTGTAACCATTTCTTCTGTCGTCATCATCTCGAATTGCGTACTCAACCGAAATAGCTCTATCCATAAACTTGCTGTCAAGCAAAGTGAAAGTATCCAAATGAAAAGGATCAATGAGACAGTAATAACATATCAAACTATTGTCTATCCCAAAAAGGTCAATTGAGATGACGTGTGGTGCATGAAATCCTACACAGACCAGTACAGAAAAGCAAAATAAAGAGTTGAAAACTATCCAAACAAGCAACATCGTCAACTGTAATGACCTTTTTAGCAAAAAGATCAGCATGTAAAACGAAGTTATTTTATTTAAGTGCTACTAAAATAAATGCATTTTTTTTCCTCAATATTACTATCTGAGTAACAAACTCTGCATTAAACTTGCACCAAACAGGAAATCAAAGGCATATTTTCCAGACTTCTCTTAACAGGGGGAAAAGGGAAACCTCATATGTAGTGCTTCCAATGCTCTAGTGGCATCTTCCTGCAACTCAAACTGCACAAATGCAAAATTCCTTCTGATTCTCACATTTGATATTCTTCCATAAGGGTCAAAGTGCCTCTCTAGGTCCCTTGTCCTAGTATGAATCGGATCAAAGTTTATAACAAACAGAGTTTTTGAAGGTCTTGAATTAGATGAAGATTTTTTTGGGCTCCCACCAGGCCTTCTTATACCACGTTCTTGCTGCACAAAAAAGATTTAGCAGGATTGGTCCTAAGCTAACACTTAAACCAGCTAGAATGTCAATAACAATTCCAGTTTACAAGCAAAGCACCAACTTGGTAAAATAAATGTACAAACCTTGGTCCATTCAACACGAAGTCTACGCCCCTTTCTACCAAACTCTATCCTGTCAAGTCTTCTAATTGCATCATCAGCATCCCGCTCATCTTCCATGTACACAAAAGCAAAACCTGTAGAATCGACACAATGAGAAACCAAACAACAGGTCTCCAGTTTGAAGGTAGACAGTAAAGCTAATTCGCTAAAGTTTTCAATCATTATGCCTCCTTTGTGGGCTCCTGAGACTACTAAACCACAATTACTAAATGGAATTACCAACCGAACCAATGATTCAGAGTGGGGAAATGAGAAATTTGTTGGAGCAAACACAAAACCTGCCATTGGTACCGAGATGATCATGATTTCTATGTGGAACATGTTGGGAATTGAATACTTGACAAAGCATGACAAATGGAAAGGGGCAATGGTCTGAGGTAAGTGTGGGATGGTAGAACCATGGTGGATCATATTGGTCCTTTCGGAAAAACATTAACATGTATCTTGGGAACAAGCCAGAAAAGGGATGCAGAGAACCATCCATCCAGGAAGATCATGGAAAGTCCAAGTAATCCTGCGCCAAAGAAACTGTTGAGCTTGGCGGTTTAACTACAAGAAATACTTGCATTTCTGAAATAAAATCAATAGATTAGTGACATTAAGAAGTTACTATTTGAAGAAACATTTGACCCTTGAAGCTGTCAGCCAAGAGCCCATATGAAGAGTTATGGGCACAATCTTATGTGAGATGCCCAGATTTCACACACACAAAAAAAAAAATCAATTTTAATTCATGGTGCAATTCATCCAAATAACTTAAGTCTAAGCAATTTACACAGACAGAAGATCCCAATCTGTCCTACATAATTCATAAAATTGAATCTAGTCCCATACATACTTTTAAAACTGCTAAAGTACAAAAGATAACAACTTGGAGGCAAACGAAGCTCATACACCATACGATGTTAGACAACAAGACTTGTTATGAGTACTAGTTTGTTATGCACTTCTACATACAACATGAGTATGACAAACTTCAGCATACAGGCAAATTTACAAGTGTTGCAAGTTGCTACAATATTCAGTCACCATGGAGACCATCCAACAACCTCAAGAGGTTCATAATAGGAACCTTCAACCACCAAGTGGTTAGGAGTAAAGAAGAGCCCTGGATTAAAATTAAGACAGATCATGAACTGGTTGGGGAAGTTTTAAGGGTTCCAGTCAAGTAGAGAAGAAAGATTGTATTATAGTACCTGATTTCATATCCACCCTCTCAACCTTCCCATATTTTCTGAAAAGTCGTTCAACATCAGACTGACGTGCATCGAACTCCAGATTCCCACAAAAAATTGGCCTCATATTCCCTGAAGCTCTCAAAAAAACCTATTTCAATCCAGTAATAAACACCCTATTAGACAAATAATTTTGGAGAGCATACCCAATGATAACAAAAAGAATATTCCAATTCATGCATAAAATGATTCATGAACCATAGCTAGTCTCAAATCTACATCAATAAATACAAAAAATACAGGCTCTCTAAACATCCTATAGAGGCAAAGCTTTTCATCTTACTAGTCGGAATACAAACATCCTACCCAAGAAAAACCATGCATTGTACCAGCGAATAATTTGGGATAAACTTTACGATGAGCAAACCATTCTCTCATTTTTGCACACCAATAAGCAACTTAACTGATATACTGGAGATCCCAAAAAAGTCCAACAGGATATGAGATAATTTGAGCAACTACACAGCTAGGCCATATTCCAAGAATGACTACACATTTATATGGAAGTGAAAGCATTATTGCGGTGCAGGAGTCTTCCAAATTGCAACTTATGTTTCATCAAATATATAACTAAACATAACAGAGGCAATTCAAATTTAATAAAGACTACATTCACTATTTATTGCTGTTCATTTTGCTTCACTAAAAAAAAATCTCAAATTAATCAACTACAAGAAACTATTCAACTCATCAAGTCAAATACGTATCACTAATCCCTTGGCCTCCAAACACTTAAAACTTTCTGAGATTCATTCAGCTCTAATTCTCTCCAGGAGATTTTATATCCTTTCAGATTTGAACACTTACACTTCCTTTATGTAGTAAAAAGAAGGGCAACGGAAACAACAATCATATGCATATTCTTATAGCCCCTGCGTTCCATCCAATCAGCCCTCTTCCGCCATTTTGCACTCTTGTGCTAATCTTCCCCTTCCCAAACCCTAAAAATCCCCTTCTTTTTTTTTGCCTGATTCTGCTTCAGTCGTAATTCAACCACTGTCACTGTTTTGTTATTAATTGCATTTATCAGTCCACTTGCATCCTCCGTCTCCACCCAAAAAGGGCATGTAAATCAAATACATTCTAATTTAACTAAAAAAAACGGCGCTAAATCCAGCAAAAAAAAGAAACTTTGACAAGAAATTACATCAAATTCAGAGATTAAAAGTCAAATTTGATCCCAGATAAAAACCAATTGTATAATCAGCAGTTCGCTTTTTAAAGTTGAAAACGGCCAAAAAAAAAAAGATGCTGACTGCACAGAAATATAAAGCCCGAAAAGGGATCCAATATTATTACCGAAAGAAAGAAAATTTTCCAATTAATCGCACGATCTGAGTAGGATCGTTCAGCCCTCGGCAGGACCTGAAAATATTGACAGGATTAGATTAAAAACGGATCTATATTTTTGTTATATGTAAGATTACAGAGAAACGGAAGGAAGCTATAAACCTTTGCAGCAGACGGATTCAGACGAACCCTTGACGGCTGGAGCGGAGATCGCAGGCACAGAGTGAAGAGAAAGATAGCGGCTTTGGCAGATATTTTTATTTAGTGTTCGTATATTTCAGTTAGGCCCATGATGTTTGCAGAAGATAACTTTTTTAGACCCTCATACTTTATAAAGTTTCATCCAGGCCCTTTATTGTCTTGTGCCTCTTGGAGATCTATTGGCAAGGATTCAAGGAATATATAATTACGAGTAATAGAAATGGCAGGTGATGCATTGAAGTGTCGTTGATTAGCCAATAATGGAAGAGTAATACGGAAAGAGTGTAGTGATAGTTATCTAGGAATAGGAATAGAAAGTTTTGTAGATAAGGTATGAGTAGATGATAGTGAACGTTGAAAGGGTATATTTGAAAGAAACAGATAATGACACTTTTTTTTTTTCTTTTTCTTCTTTTTCCTACCACCAAACCTACTCCAACTTTTTATATGTTGAGGGATACTTAGTGTAAAATATAGGGTTAATCACAATTCATACCTTAAAGTATACCTCATTTCTCACTTTATTTGCTAACCATTTTTTTGTCTCACTTTATCCCTCATTGGACAAAATTATTCATCTATTATTCTAAACTCTTATTTTTCTCTTTTATTTTTTTCCTTTCCCCTTTTGTGTTCCTTTATTTTTGTTGCCTCTTTCTTTATTTAATTCTTCCTCTTTTCCACAAAAAATTTTCATCTTAATGATTGAAATTAAAAAAGAGAAATTACAGAAATCTATTTTCTCTTTAAATGATTACAAAATATTCAAATCACTTTCCTAAAATACAATTTTTTTAGCCTTTCAATTCTTTTAATTTTGGTTTTTTCTCTTTTCTTTCTAGATTCTCATTTTATTCTCAAGAAAATATCATAAGATGAAATTGTGACCTGATTAATAATCATCAATTGAAAATTGTGACACGTGGCATCATACAAAAAATCAAAATTAGTTTTTTATGCCTTTTAAACCTTCACCCAAAAATGCAATTACAAATTCAAGATAAAAATTTCCGTTGAGATGGAGTTTTCTACTGGAAATGATGACAGAGAGAAGAAAGAAGAAAGAGAAAAAGAAATAAAAGAAAGGAAAAAAGATATATGAAAAGTCAAAATAATGGAAGGGTAATTTTGTCTTATAGGAGGTTAAGTGAGCAAAATTAAAGGTTATGGGGTAAAGTGAAAAATGAGGTATATCTTAAGGGAATTAATTGTGATTAACCCTAAAATATATTGGCCAATTTAAATGCTTAGTACGTATGAGCATTGATCGTACTGCCTTTAAACTTGTGTTTGTTCATTTATGAACTCAAATTCAAACTAGTTTTTACCTTAAACTTTGTATATATAATTTTGATTTTAACAATGCTAATAGTGCAAAATTTGAATTGAGATTGAAACTTTAACAAACACTAAAACCATTTATGTTTGACTTAATTAGTCCGAGAACTAAAGTCATACAATCTCTATAGTAGTATTGAGCAGCTTTTGTTAATCTTTAGACTTTATTTGTTAAATGATATGGTTCCATTTAAATTGCTATTCTTTGAAGTTTTTGTAAAAAAAAATACTGTAACGATTTGACGTATATAAACTAAAAAAGTGATTGAAAATGTGTTTATAAAAAATATAAGTTTTTTTTTGGGGCAAAACTACAATCCAAACATAGCCATTGATTCACAAATATACATGTGACAAAAATTCTAAATCAAAAGATTAATCCTTTTTGTTCCTAGAAAAATGAATTTCAGCATTCTATCGTAAGGTAGAAACTTCTATGTCACCCTCACCCTAATGTTGGTAGCTATTCATCACTTTCGTTCTCTTGTCTGTCGCAAAAATGAAAAGGTCAAAAGCAGCTTTATAGTTTATCCTTAATTTATGGAAAGAAAAAAAGAAAAGAAAAGAAAAGAAAAGAAAAACATCTATGCTTCTGAAAGGTACTTGTAAACCAAAAAGTTCGGCTTGTCTTATAGTGATACAATTGTTTATGGGCTGCTCTGAATATTAGTGGGCTGGGCAAGAACGTATTAGGACCATCACATTTGGGCTTATCGATTGGTTTTCCGATGTTGGACTTAGTCGGTTAGGGAAGCACTAGGCTTCCCACCATTCATTCAAACAAAGCATTTTAACGAAGAATATTCTATCCATTTTAGAAAGCTACGGCATATATATATATATTAATGGTACAGACCTGTAGCATTCTTTTCAATCCAAATATTTATTTACTAATATTCTCTACTGATCTCTCCACATTTGTCCAATCTGCAACAATACCTCTTAAATCCTTAACAATACGTTGAACTATGATTTTTAGGGGATAAACGAAGTGCAGGAACAACGCATAACCATTTGTCTACTTTGAATAGAGATGTCAAAAAGGGTGACTTGGGTGGGTTTGAGCGAGTCATAATTGGGTAATGGGTATGTTGAGTCAATTCATTTATATCTATTTAAATAGATAGGTATGGATTTACTGAATTGCTGACTCATTTGAAATTCTACTTTTTATTTTTTATTTTTTATTTTTTTTGCATATTATTTGACCAAAAAAAACTGTATTTTATTGTTATTAGATCAGTAGGAAATTCAAATTTATCTTCTTAACACTTACTAAAAATTGATTTTAAATATATAATTATTTTTAAATGGATAAAAATGTATAAATCGAGTCAACTCACTGCCCACAAATTAAATGGGTTTAATAGGGCACTCATTTTTTTGACAAAAAAATTAGGTACCCATTTAGACCCGTATAAAATTAATTGACAGGTTTATATGGGTTATTAATAATCGAGTTTGGACAAGTCAATATAATTGGATTGTGATTGAGATCTTTTGACTTTAAAGCAGTGGCCTTACTAAAAACCAAACATCTACGTTGTGAACCATTTCCCAAATACATGCTGCGTACGGACAGAGGAAAAACATACGAGAATATAAATTCCAGGACCGGAAGAGCAAAAGCAAGACATAGAATCCACTTCGAGACCACCCAAGGATCTAATTAGTCTATTATTAGTGCTCAATCGCAGTCTACAAGCAAGCAAGAGAATTAATGAATGTTGAAGAGGTATTTTTTGGACCTGCTTGAGTGAATCGCGAGTTGTAAGTGCTCTAGCTTAGAGAAGTCACGATACCGGGGTCACATGTTCAAGCTAAAAGAGGGGTTGAATCCCCCGGTATAGCTCCGAAACTTAAGTTAGTTCGGGACTGAAGAAGTAATTTAACGGTTAAGAAGATTAATATAGCCTGCTTTACCAGCAATTGATCATCCCCTTTCTCAGTGGAAATGTTAGGTATTTATAGGGGATGGATAGGAGAGAGGGACGGCTGGTACAGGTCCCTAGAGATCTGATATAGACAGCGTATCAAGTTGATTTGATTGGTTCCTGTGAAAAGGCGCGCCGAAACAGCTGCCAGAATCAGGCGGCGCATGTATCAGAGCAGCTTTCTGTCAGGTATCAGATGTGTCAGAAGTCACACCCCCACCCTTCTGCGGTTGTCAGACACTTAATCGTCACTTCGGCTCTATGACGGGAGGTCCTAGCTGAGGTGACGAATGGGTCGAAGTCACCTCAGCAAATAGATTGCCGAGGCAGCCCTTCCAGGAGAACCACAAGGTGCGGCCCCAGTCTATCCGAGCCAAAACGACCATCCTCACTAAGCCCCCCAGGTTTCGGAAAGGGCGAGATCGTTGTTTCTCGAGATCGTTACTTTCCGAGGCTGATAAGTATGTAGGACACGGAACACAGACACGTCATGACCGCGTGGATGGAATTAGGGGAGAAGCGAAATGACGGCTGTTAGCTTTAATGGCAGGTTCATGAATAAGCGCGAAATCAGCAGGCAGGCGAACAGTCTTTTCATTAATGAGGAGAGAGAACGCGCCCTCGAGAATCCCAAATGTATCGCCTCTTCATCTTTCCCCCGTTAGCCTATAAATAGGAGTCCCTTTTTACCGTTTCACTTTTTACCAGAAATCTAAAATCACCCCAGAGCTTCGTTTCCGTCTGTCTTTCCACTTCGGCCATTTCCTAAACCGCATCTTCTGAGTAAGTACTTTCTTTCTTTACTAATGGTTAGGACAGCTCGCACACATAAAGAGACAGTGAGACCCGACTTCACCGAGGCAGAGAGGCCCGACCCCTCCGAGAAAAGAACTGCCTCCGAATCGAGGGAAGATGGTGCCAGAGCGTCCCACTAGACCGGGTCACTCCAAGAGCAGGACGAAGAGATAGAGGTCGAAGCTGAGGTTCTTTATAACGAAAATCTCGGCGACGAGGTTTCCAGGGATGAGGGTGTGCAAGAGCCGGCCACCCCTCCGGATCTATCAGCACTCAACTACGGCCAAATGCCTACCTTTAGCAGCATCATGAATCAAACTCTGGTAGCCGAGGTGGTTTGCCGATATCCCTGGAGGAGGAACTACAGCCTCTATCCGCCTCGGCCAGATCAATCAGCCGCACTACCACCAAGGGGTAGGGTGGCTAATTATGTGGATCAACTGGAGGCCGGACTCAGGATGCCCATCACAAGGTTTTTTCGAGACTGCTTGAGGTATTTGGGGGGTGAGAATCACTCAACTCACCCCCAACGCCATTCGCGTTCTCGTCGGCTTTCAACTGCTCTGCCGACATCAGGAAATAGACCCCACTGTCAACCTCTTCCGCCGGTGCTACTCGCTCAAAAACAGTGAAAGCGAAAAGGGTTGGTTTACTTCGGGAACAAGATCCCGAAGTTGGTGGTGGATGCCCCCACTTCGATAAAGGAGTGGTTGGGAAACTTCATCTTCGTTCCAACTGAGGATTTCCCCAGAAGATTCTGGTGGAGGCCTCCCACCCCGGTCAAAGAGACATCTCCGGGCAAACTGGAGGAGGGCAACTTCAAGAAGCTGACGGGGTCGGGTCTCAGGATCAACTGTTGGGATTTTCCCGAGACAGTTCTAATTGACGGCGGAATCAGCCGAGTTTTGATCAGCAAGAATCATCCCGTCTTCTTCTCCTCTAGGTTTCAAAAACCTTGTACTTTTTCATTCCCTACTTTGTTTGTTTATCCTTGATTCTAA